GTAAGTATATACTATCTGTGAAAGTATGTTTGGTATGGAAGAGAGGGTATGTGAAAGAGTATAATATATTATTGTGTGTATGCATGTGTGTTTGAGCGTGTATGCGTATGTGTGTGTTTGTGTTTGTGTTTGTGCGTGTGCGTGTGTGAGCGCGTGCATGTGTGTGCGTGTGTGCGCCCATATGTGTGTGTGTGTGTATGTGTGTGTGTGTGTGTTTGTGTGTGTGTGTGTGTGTGTGTGTGGCAAAACACCAAACCAATGAGCCAGTGTCTGGACAACAAAGAAAAATCTTTGAATTTGTTTTTTGGGGGGATTTGGTATTGCGCCTTTCCTTTAAAAAATGATTTATTGGATCAGAACATGACTTAAAGCCGTTTTATAGTGCAAATTTGTCCTGCAATGATTTGAGTGGGCGTATTGTGAGACGTCGAGTGTCTCAGTGCATAAAGGTCATATCAATAATATCTTCAATAATATCTTCCTGATCACATTTCAGTCTTACGACAATAACATTCACTGTATGAAGGAGATGATTCGTAACACGAACGAGAAGGAATATGTCGCGGAGTGTCTTTCAATCTCGTAAATCTCTAGACGTATTTCAAGACTTCATGACATTTTACTTAACCCACTTATAGCGCTCACAGAGGAAAATGATTCAAGGCATAGGAATTACCACCCCCCCCCCTCCCCCTCCCTTGTTGGACATACTTTCGGTCGATATTGGAGACAGTCTTGCACAAGTAACAAATCCACGCTAATACAGGGATGGGGTGTGCACACAAGTTTGTGACGCTATTTCTAGTTCACGTAGGCTCTTTGGTGGAAGTGAGGTCATAATTTGTATATTTTATGACGTGGTTTAAGTCGTGGGCAGTACGCAATTCCCCTTGTGGGGTTTAGTTTAAGTGGGGTGTTCGTTGCGAAAGAAAAGATTTCTTTCCGTATGTAGGCTACCATTATTTTCATTTCAGTAAGTGTAGCCAAAAAAAGCACTCAACACTTTTGCACCAGTAGCATTAAAATAGGCATTGAATCTACTTAATAAAAAACTGCGCCTTTTAGGACTAGTATGTATTTGCGAAGGAGAAGTGTTGCTCTTTCTGTCTCGAGAGTAGCTGGCACTCAAGGTTATAAAAGAGTTAGATCTACGTTAACTTTATCTGTACGCCCTGTGGTCATTTTATACCCAGGGTTGTATTCTTCACATTTTAGAATACTTCTAGCACGAAGATCTCTTTGAAACTTTCAGTATTTCTCAAAAAATCATTTTGACAGACTGCTTTGCAAAGCGTACGGATCGGATTAACGAGTAAATTTCCTCTTTGGAAAATGGTGGCACAGAGTTCCCCACATCGTATGGATACGAAAGTAAAACACGACTCACGGATAGGGTTAAAGAACAACGGCAGCAGATCTTGTTGAACTCTTTGTAATAAAATGATAACTTTTAAAGTGTTACATCCCTACCAACACTATTTAGCTCATTTAGGAGGTGAAATCTGAAATCCCTAATTAAATTGTAATAAATACCCCCAAAAATTAAGTGTGAGATTTTGGAGCAAAGAAAATGTTAGTGTTTCATAGAATGTACTTAATGTTCTTACATGTAGCTCCCCTGACTGTAAGGTTAAGTAGAGTCTAGTGTAAAATAAAGCCCAACATTCGAGAGTTACTTGACAGTGCGCACACCTGGTGTGTCCACTATCACAGCTGATATATATATATATATTTAACTTTCATGTACATGTACATGAAGAATACGGGGTGGGAGGGAAGGAGTGGGGGTGTCGAAGTCTACTTTTGGCTTTAGCTTTAGGTCTAAAGATAATACCATTAAACTGAAATATCACAATGGCTGGTTGTTTTTGGCAGCATTATTTGACAAATTTTCTTTAGACAGATATTGCAACATGATTCTCCTCTGTAAAACAGAGAAAGAGAGAGAGAGAGAGAGAGAGAGAGAGAGAGAGAGAGAGACAGACAGACAGAGAGAGAGACAGAGAGACACAGAGAGAGGAGAGAGACAAAGAGAGAGACACAGAGAGAGAGAGGGAGAGAGAGAGGTAGATATAGAGAGAGAGAGAGAGAGAGAGAGAGAGAAAGAGAGAGAGAG